AATTTGAAAAGAGAAAAAAGAGCAACACTTCTAGGAGAAACAAAGACTAGCTTCATGTCCTTGGACGAGGCTATAGGGTCCGTAAGTAGGACACAAATTATATTGTGCGTAAGATATTTATTTGAAATTAAGAACTTTTCATCACAACCTATTCCATTAAGACAACAGAAAAGCAAGCAACTGTTCTATGTGACTAGCCAATGACTTGAGTCAACACTACATAAATAATTCCTATAAATAAGATGAAAAAAATGGGTGACACCTTAGTAAAAGATTAGGCAATCGCTTTGAATAGGAACAGTGCAGGCTGTGCAACTGGCTCAATGGGGTGTTAAGGATGCTCAATTCAGTTGTGCATCAAAGGACAAAAGTCTAAAAAACCATAGTGAGATACCACTACACAGCCCTGAAGGATTAAAATTGTGGGGGTGACTGTTCCAAGTGTTGCTAAGTGAAGCAGCTGGAGCTCTTGGTTATTGCTGGTGGCAGTGCAAATTGGTCCAACCACTCTGGAAAATTGGTTGGCACTGTTGAGACCTAACGTGTGTCCTCTGACAGCAACATATCCATTAGAAGTAAACATTGTTCAACTGCTGTCAATGGAATATGGTGCATGCTGAAGTCCTAACTCCAAGGTGGTCCTAGAGTGGGGTGAGGGCTTTGGAAAGTACTTAAGCTGAGGGCTGGAGCTCTTATGAGTGGAACTGCTCCATTTAGAAGAGAGACCTCCAAAGGACTCTGTTGCCTTCTTTATGCCTGGGAATGAGAGATCACGCACAGTGCAAAAGAGAGGCCTCACCAGAGCTAATGAGGCTACCACTCGCTGCGCCTCCTGCCTGCAGGCCTGTGGGAGACACACGTTGTAAGTCCCCCAGCTCGTGCTATGTTGTTCCAGCCACCCGAATGGAGTCACAGGTGGTCAAAGTGCAGCAGATCAGAGCCCCTTGTCCTAAGGCAGTGCAGCACAGTTCGGAGGGGAGACAAAGAGCTGCCACTATGTGCAGTAGTGGAGGTAAACCTTTTCCGGTGGACACTGAGTCCTGAACCCAGGCCCTCATGCATCCCAGGCAGAACCCCATCGCCGAGCTACATCTCCACCCCCAGGGATAATGCTTATGAACATAATGAGGATGAAAGTAAAGTAGACATTAAACTGCATATGTTATTGGATTGCATTTGGAGGAAATTTTAAAGTGGGCAAAACAAAACTTTGTGACAAAATGGCCACCCTGGGTGGGAGGACTGGCTGCAGAGGACCAGTGAGTGGCGGTGATCCTGGGCACACCATGCTCGGCCTAGGGTGTGGGTCTGCATGCATTCGTGAGCCTACTGTGGGTCTATGATGTTCAGTCTGTTTGCATGCATTTGTGAGCCAGTTACTGACTGATAATTGATTCAGCAACTTTTTAAAAAAAGACATTTTTTGAAGGAACAAGCAGGATGCTCCTCAGAGAGCAGGAAAGTGGATAGGGTAAGTGGCCTAAAGACTCAAGACTCATGACGAAGCTGCAGTAAACAATGTTGTATAATGTCTGAACAGGGACAGACAATTAGGCTGGCCTGGACGATAAGCACCTGTGTTTATGGAAATGTGATCACAGGGCATGGGGAAGACTGAAATGTCCAGGAAATAGTGCTGGGGCAGTTGGTGTCTATATGAAAGGCAGTGACTTTTATCACATTATACTAAAAGGAAATTCTGGGCCACCACGTGAGTGGCAGAAATTCTGAAAGGTTTATGATAAAACAGAAAAATACTTATCAGGAGCAGTGTGTGTGTGTGTGTGTGTGTGTGTGTGTGTCTTATCAAAAGAGGGGTGGTGCTGCACACAGCAGATGGAAAACAGGCATTTCAGGAGACACTACAGAGGAGAAGAGACAGGCACAGACTGGAAGATGCTGGCAACACGTAATCCACAAGAGCAGTGTCTAGGACAGCGGATATACTGACAAGAGAGACATTCACCCCATAAAAAGCATTGACGACAGACCAGAGAAACAATTCCACCCAAGTCTAGTTCATCGGGTCATCGAGTTTACTGTGGCTACTACAGCAGCCCGAGCCCCTCAAGGGTAGCAGTGTCACCAGCAAGCCCACCTTAGCACAGTTAACTCATGAAAGCTCCCTGGAGGACTGGAGGGCAGCTTAGTCAGTGGGAGGTTATATAACCTTGGGCAGAGGGTTTTTGAATCTTGTAGGTTTCAGGATTTTCTGAACCTTGTAAGTTTCCTTTATTTGGACCTTGTATGTTTTGCTTATTTCCTGGGTCCTTGGAGCCTCTCACTTTGCTCCAGGATGGGTTTTGAGGAAAAAGCTACACATGAACTTTAAAAGGAAAAAGAAAGGAAGGAGCTCAGTGGAAAAGCAGTCAGTGGTGAAAGTCATTAGCAGATGAGGTGAACAGAAAGGAAACAGAAAAACCCTCGTAAGGAATTGGGAACGAGCAATCATAGTGAGATATGATTTGTACCCGGTGACTGGGCAGGAATTTAGCTGCGAACACTAAGTACTGGAAAGAATGTGGGTGGCATTGCTGTGCTGACAGAGCCCAGCCACTTTGGAAGCCATTTTGTTGACATCTCCCCATGAAAACAGTTTTGCCTTACATACAGCCCGGCATTTCCATTCCTAGGTGAATGCTATAAGAAAGTCTTATGCATACAGACTAGAACTTTCCAGAATTTAAAACTTTCCAGAATACAAAAATATATATTGTCGGTATTAGTAACAGCTGGATAACTGGGAAGACTGGGTAAGAGTGAGTTAGACAGTGAGTTGCAGATGTTCCTCTCTGCGGAGTTGCTGCCTTGAGGGCAAGAACGGTGTGCTGACTTTGGAGGGAGGGAAAGGGACCAGTGTTTATTAGGCCAGAGCGAAAGCTCTTGGCAGCAGAGAGGGGACCAACAGTGGGCCGATGACAAAGAGGCTGTCTGAGGTTCATTACCAGCTTATGTGGGCTCAGAGTGGTTTGGGGCACACAAATTAGGTGAGAGGTAAAGACCAATTCAGAGAGGACTGGGGTCTGGGAAGCCTTTTCAGCCACATCAACAGCTCTGCTCCCTTCCCACCCCCCAGACAGAGGGTTGATATGGGGAGGTGAGCCTCAGGCTGCCTCAGGACTCGGAGGTGGAGAGTAACTTTCCTGTCCCATCTGCTACCTCAGGTGGCTTCTGGTCACTAGCTCCAGCCTCAGCCAGGATCCCTTTATCTCTGTCTCTGTGTATTCCGGGGCTCTAGTTCTCCCTGCCTCTATGAAACACAATGTATCGCTTAGTAGTGAAAACAAACTAGTCACATGAAAAGGAAATAAACATACTTAGGGAAAAAGCGACTCTCAGAAGGCTGAAGATGTGCCATAGCAGTTGCATGGTATTTGTGACATGCAAAGCCAAATGACACAGTGTTTGTGGCTGCATCCATGTCTAATAAAATGAGGTGGAAAGCAACACAACAGGGAGCAGAAAGCCCATGAAGTTAGGAGGAAGATGTGGGTGGCTTCAGGGGTGGCACGCCTGCTCTATAACTTGCATATTTAATATTTAACTTTACACATTGAATATTCTAATATAAATTATTATCTATAATATTAAATTTCTGTCAAGAACAGTTAGTGAAAACAGACAGAAACTTCAGAAATAGGCTGCCTGGCTTCTAATCTGCTTTCCCCAGTGAACAGGGTTATGGCTTTGGGAAGTTACTTCAGTGTCTTATGCCTCAGTGTTTACATCTGTAAAATGGGAACAGTGAAAGCATGTTGTTTTTGATTGCTAAATGCATTTATAGAGGAAAAGCCCATAGCAAAGTTGGATAATGAGCCTTGCCCAGGACCAGCGTGGAGGGCCAGCAACTCACCATCTATTACTGTCAGTTTTCTTATTTCCAAAAGAATGGGGAGAGGTGGGATGGTGACAAACAGGGCATGCGTCGCAAAGGATACATAGAGCACACTAGGTATTTAATAGTATAATGTAACATTTTGATTTATCCTCATGGATTTTCTAATTCAGAAACTGGAGAACTGAAGAACCAGGCATGCAAAGATGGCTCCATGGGAGCAGGCACGCTTCCCAGGACAGAGAGGCACAGCATGCCTGTTGAAGCCTTGTTCAAGTGACTTCATTTACGTTCCTTGTACCAGTGGGGGCGTGTCCAGGAACAAGCACTGTCCTCCTGCCACACACTCTCCACACTCTCCAGGCCTCCTCCTCTGCTTTTCAGCAAATGTAACTGAGACTATTGAAGGAGGAGGGGGAGGGGCAGGCAGGGGAGAGGAGAGTGCCCCAAGCTCAGGAAGATGCCACTGTCTTTTGGAGAGAAGGCCTGTGGCAGCTTGACCTCCATGCTGCCTGGAGGAACAGACGTCAGGGTCTGGCTGAAGTGACCCCAGAGGCTGCGGTACCCTTCATGCTCTCTCCCTCACTTCCTGGAGAAAACTCCAGATCTGCTTCCTGGAAACAAAAGTGTCTCTGCTTTTATGTTGCCTTCTTCATCTCCCCCCTATCCCCCTACCCCCCGCCCCACACTTTTTAGGTGAATGCATCCTTAATTTTGACATGGCTTTCCTAGTGTCCTCACAAAAGTTGTCAATCAAGGTGGAGGTGAGCCATCTTTTGCCTCCTTTTAGCCTTTCTTTTGTATCCTAGCCGCTGGAGTCAGAGTCCTTGATGCTTTTTGCCTGTCTGCACATGCTGTAGCATTTGTCAATATTAAATTTAATTTGTGCTCAGAGCACTTCACTAACGGTGAAAACACAAAGCTCCCTGAACTTTACCTTCGCTATGTGTTCAGTCCAGCCAGCATTAGCAAACCTAATGAACTCTGCAAGGCTGTCTACCCGAATGCACGCCAATTCTGTTGACTGAACACATTGTGTGTTTAGAAACTGACCTTGTAAAACCCACTTGAAATTTATCTACCTCACAAACCCAATGCACCATTTGTTCTTTTACAATAGAATGTATTCGTGCCCAAGTATCAATCCAACGGGTCAACATTAAAGAGTGAACATCAACAACAGACATTTATTGAGCGCCTATTGTGTGCAAGGCACTGTACTAGGTAGGGGGCTACAAAGACAAAAGAGAGACAGCCCCTGCCCTCAAGGAGCTTACAACCTAGTCTAACAGACACATACATAGAAAGACACAGGACAATCCAAGGTAGCATGTCATATGGGCACAAGTAGAAAACAGGATCTCAGCCTTTTTTTTTTTTTGCATTTACATTTCAATACCCTGAGTAAGTGGGGGAATGGGCTGTAACGGAGTTACTCCCATGCGGTTCTAAGCCTTCTGGACGGTCTCTCCTCTTTCCAGTTCAGCATATGTTCAGGTGTGTGCGAAACCCAGACAGTTTGTGACTCTCCTCTGGCCCCACCTCCTCAGGCTGTGCATTGTAGTGTAGTGTTGTTCTGCTTTGTCCAAGATGGCCCTATGTTTAGGGCTTATACCAGTCTACGCTGGCCAGGAGTCACATCTCCAGTACCTTGTAGTAGAGCCACAGACCCTTGGGCCCACTGTACCACTGCTCCTGGAGGCTCCACACCAAACCCATCCTCTAGACAGGTCTCCAGTTCACAGCCCACCCGGAAGACCTGACCAACCCAACACTGGGCCTTCAGAACACTGATGACAGGAGGGTCTGAGGATGGCAAAGACGTGGGGGCTCGAGAGAAGCAGAAGGATGGAGGAAAAGACTAGTTGGTGTGAGACGTTCAGACCTGGATTGAACCTCAGACCTTCTGTCAGGGTAGGACTCCCCAAGGGGGGGGGATCCAGGGCCACCCACCCACGGAAAACCTCTAGAGAGGTACAACATGGGCACATGGACACTTACACAGCACTCTCTTCATCCTAACAGTTTATACATCTCCTTTCACTTCCTACCGTTCATTCACCCTTTAAAAGTTCTTTGAAATATAGTGTTTATTTTGATGTGCGACTCTCTGTCCCCGGTCTAATGTAGTTCAGATTGCCCTGTCTTTGGAACAGGAATCTGGCAGTGACCTGGAGATTCCAAGAGGCCACATCTTACCCTTCAGGTACAGGACTTTGCCGTTTGTTTTCATTTGGTTTTCCGAAGCCCTGGGCTTGTGCTCTTAGGATCTGTGTCCCTGATGCAGTCTGTTTCTGCGCCTCCCCCTAAGGTGTATAGAGCAGGGTGAGAAAGCAGGGGCTTAGCTCCCTAATGCCTGCTTACGGGAATGGGAGCCACACAGCCAAGTCCCCATGCAGCATGCTGAATATTTACCTCCTAATGTTCTTTTAATGTGTGCTTTCTTGGGTGAATATTTACTGTAGAATATTAAATGTGAGATTCCTCTTTTTATGGGCCATTTGAAGTGATTGATTTTGTTTGTGAATTCCTGTATCTTTGCCCATAATGGCTATCTATTGTAATGGCCTCTGCCAAATGTTCTTGTGTTGAAATAACAGAAGCCATGGATCGGCCAGCTGTGGCATCATATTATTGTGGTCTTAAAAGCTAGGAGGAGGCTGATGATTCCACTGGGGAGAGAAGAAAAAGGTGTGTAACATACCAAGTATGACTGAGGCTTCAAATATCCTGAAATCATCCAAGTCTGTCAGCAGGGTTTTGTGTCTTTTATATCAGAGTTTATGTTTAATGGTGTTGAATGGCATTAAGTCTGACGGTTGTGAAGGGATGGTGGTAAAACATGAATTCAATTGCCCACAACCAGGTCCATGAGCACAAGCCATTGGAGCTCTCAGCATTTTCTCTAATGCTGCAGCAAGACTGTGACCCAAGAGCTAATTGCTTACACTTAGCTACACCATGCTTTTGAAAGAAATATATGAAGTCACACATTATAGCTGCATGGGAATTTAAATATTTTCCTGTGAAGGACACAAAACTTGGGCACTTGGTTACTTTTTATTCTTCTGAGAGGAGGAAAATAAAAAGAGCTTGATGTTCTTTGTGGGCTTTTTTTTTTCCTTAAAAACAAAACCAAAAACACCCCCCAACACACACACACAAACCTAAAGATACTAGATTCATGGGATAGTAGGTCAGGAGGCAGAGTTCCACCTTGACATCTATGTTTTTCCCAAATCTCCTAATTTTAGGAATTGTCAAAGGAACATGTACATTTCAACAAATTATCTCTTCAAGGATTATGAAGGTGACCTGTCAATCAATTGTGAGCATTTCACACCCTTCTTCCTGCGCTTGGTGGCTGTGCTGTGGTCAGATAAAATTCATTTTCCTACAAAAACTCAGAGGATCCTTGACGAATGGATTCCACTAAGTCTTAGAGAGCAATTTCTTTTCTTTCTTTCTTTGTTTTTTTTTTTTTTTTGCTGACTTTTAATAACTCAAACCAGTACTACTTTGTTTTTGCTGACCAATACCTGGACTGTATTTGCATCTTCATAATGGTACTGTGCATAAGTAATAGTTCTGCTTAATGAAATAGGATGAGATATTAGCACTAATTAAAAAGAGGGGAAAGAACTGATGGTGTGAGACAGCTTTAGTCACAAGTCCTGTCCAGTTTGTAGAGCAATGCCTGTTCCCTCACAACATAAGCTGCTGCCTCCAAGTCTGTCATTACAGACACTAGTGCTCCTTTGGCAGTGTATAAAGAGGAGTCTGCTGTAGTCTTTATAACTTTTCGGCATGAAAATCTGTCCTGCTGTGTGATGGAGGCTTTGAACGAAGTGCGGGTCCCTTCATAGAACTTCTGACCAAGACTTGCAGTCACTCTGTCAGAACAGTTCTAGGTTCAAAAAAAGGCTCTCTTGGCACCGCCTCCTTCTCACTTTCTTAGACAGGTGAGGGATAGAGGTCAGACAAGTGAGACCCAGGAGGAAGCATGATTTCTACCCGGAGGCCCCGGACATGTCCACCCTGCCTCGAAGGTTCCTGCTACTGTCAGGGCCCCGTCAATCCAGGTGTCTAATCCTCCGAGAGGCTCTTACAGTCTTAGAATTGTAAGGTGGTTAGGGGGTCTTCTGGTCCATTCTAAAGAGGAAAGTGGAACTTAAAGAGAAATTACTAGGATCATCAGTTGCTACTGAAAAAAAGCTACTACTGTATCTTTAAATTTCTCTCAGCATCTTTTTGTTTTAATGACACAGATATTTTGTTTTCAATTCTGTTCTTTTGAACATTTATGTACATTAGAAAGTGTTATAACTGTTTCTGTTATGAAGGAGCAATTTGCCTGAAGCCGAGGAGTTCAAACACTGTCACACACATTTCCACGTCAAATACTGATTTCAAGCTAATGATGAGCACTGTGAGTGCAGGAGCGCGTCAGCCCAGTTCTAGGCCCTTCCAACCACCATTCAGGATTGAAGAGTCAGGAAGAATAAATTGCCACATAATCATAATCTATAAAAATACTGCCTAGAGTACACTAAAAAACTCTCAATAAATAAATAGCAGACATTTGCTTTATGAAAATCATTGGAGATGTGCTCTTCAGAAACACGTCTATTCTCACAGGCTTCTTACAAATCACAGAGTCTGACAAATGACAAAGATTATAGGTCAGGTTAGGTTACAGCCTGATAGAAAATTCTTTTGACGTGGATGTCTGTAAAGAAATGCAACTAAAAGTGTTGGGCTGCTCCTGTTTCAGCTTCGAAGACGAAACCTCCAGGGATCCGGAGCGTTCCTAGCCATGGCAGTGTCACTGAATCAGTGGTTCAGCTTTTCTTTCAAAGACGCAATACTCATGAGAATGTGTACATTCTGGAATGTTCTCTGGCCTCTGGGTTCTGTTCATGGTTCTGAAGGCTGCCGCAGTTCTCAGCCACGCGATCAGTTACCATTCCCTGCCCAGAGTTCGAGTCCCTTCCTCTCCAGCCAGCCAGTGTGGTCACGGCATCCCAGCATCTGGCACTTTCACCGCTCAGAATACAGGCTTATCTTCAGCGTGGTTCACAGTGGGCGATTCCGGTGTCCAGTCTGGCTGAAAAAAGCGAATGTTGAATGTCCGTGCCCAGTTCTTAAACACCCGTTTCTCTGTAATGAAACGGTGGTGACTGCCCTTGCGTCCTCGCTCGTGAGAGAGGTACATTGTACATTCATCTGGTCCAGAAGGCTCATAGTAATGATAAGGTACAGAAGGGTGCTTAGGATCCCTGCAGGAGGAAATCAGGACAACTGTTAAAGCAGAGCAGAGCAAAACAGTGCAGAACCCCAAACCACACACAACGTGGAATGCGCTCTTTCGTTGTTATTGGGATAAGCTGATAGACACAAATAGACACATGTTCTCAGCAGCAGATGGCTTTCCCGGTGTCGAAGCAGTAAGAAAATGCAAAGGTTTGAGACTGTAAGTGTAATGCGGCGCAGACAGAGAACTCAGGGATGTGGCACCCTGTTCGGGTGGCAGCTGCGGCTGCTGTATGTGCTCACTTAGACTAACACGTCTGCTTGCCACACTTGTCACTAAACTTCCAAAAGCCTGAAATCTTGAAAACAAAACCGGTCTGTGTCCCTTCCCCATGGGGGCCTCCATGGTCACACATGGTTTAAAGCCTGGTTCATGAGCTGTGTCCTTGTTGGAGCCCTGCCCTGCCGCACTCCAACCTTGCCCACTTGGCTTCAGCCACACCGAACTTTCTGATTGTCAGCTATTGCCAACCTTGTCCCTACCTCAGAGGCTTTGCCCTTGAGGATGACCACCAGCCTGGAATCTTCCTCGTGAGTTCATCCTGCCCACTCTTTGGAATCCTTGTGCTTTGAATGAGAACAGTCCCCGTGGGCTCATATATCTTAATGTTTGGTTCCCAGTTGGTGGACTGTTTGAGAAAGGGCTAGGGGGTGTGACCTTGTTGGGAAAAGTGGGTTACTGTGGAGGTTAGGTGTCTAAAGCCTGTACCAGGTCCATTTTTCTCTCTCTGCTCTGTTTATGGATGAGCATGTAAACCCTCAGCTACTGCTCCAGCACCATGCCTGCCTGTCTGCTGCCATGATGCTCAGGACTGAGAAACTGAGAAACTCAGAAACTGAGCGCAAACCTCCAATTAAATGCTTTCTGTTAGAAGTGGCTTTGGTCATGGTGTTTCATCACAGCAATAGAACAGCAACTAAGACACTCCTCAAGGGCCTTCCCTCCCACCTTTCACCCCATCTTTTTCATAGCATCGATCTTCTTGCTGTTGTTTTCCTATTTATCGTCTGCCTTGAGGACAGGGATTTATCTCATTCCTGGGACTGTGCCTAGTCTGGAGGCAATAAACAGCATGTGAATTTCTGTCCTTGGAGGGAATGAGCCGCTGAATGCCGCACCTCTACAGACACTTTCTTCTCCAATGATTGTAAGTCTGATTTCATCAGGTGAAAAAGAAGACAGAGAGTGGGCAGCCACTTTTTCTTCCCATTGTTGTAGATGGGCTACTGTCCAGAGTCCAGGGTCTCCTGGCGCAGACACTCTCAGCCCTCCAGTCTCCTGGGGCAGACTGGCAGTCCTAGCATGTTTTTACTCTCTCTCTGCTTCTGTCTCGGATAAAAACACTTGATGGATTTCTTCAGGGTGGCAGACCCAGTTCTGACATGGGAGGGGACACTCTAAATGTGCTCTGGCGTCAGACTGGTCCCCATTCTAGAACAGTGATCCCTCCTGTCCTGGGCTTGAACAGTAGACGATGAGCTCCACCAAGGCTTTCATCAGACAACCTTTGCTGTTTGGGTCACTAGGTATGTTTAATCGGCGGCTCTGTGTGTCCAGGATAGCTATGAATGCAGGATAACACCTGTGTAGACCACAATGTCATGTCACAAGGTCAAAAGTTTGGACCTCCTGCTGAGAGACTTGGAAAGGCTCAGGATGCTGAGTATCTTGCCTTAGCCTTTCAAAGCCTGATGCCTGAGGGTCCTTCTCTAAGAACAGGAGCTCCTGTCCCAAGATGCTCCTCCTGCTAGCAGCCTCCCTATTCTTTTTCTTTGGAGAAGATCAATACTCAAATGTGTTTTAGAGTAGCAGCCTTCCCTGGGTCAGAGATCGAAGCCTTTTATCAGGAGAGGTGTCAAGTCTGTGGCTCTGACAACAATAAACCTCTGGCACCTTCTCTTCTTAGGTTAAAGTTGTTCCAGGAAGGGAGATTTATTTTTGTCATGCCAGCCCGGATGCTACGCTGAGTTTATGCTTTGCATCTCTAATAAGCCTGCCTCAGATTGGGGCTGCTCATCTCCGTGTCCGTCAGCACAGGTTTCTACCTACCCTAGACTGGGAGCAATGGACAGTTCAGCAGAAAGCATTTCCAATACAGAAAATCCATGTTGGAGAAAATTCGGGTTAGAACTGTCCACTCCTTACAAACAACAAACAGAAGAACTTTCATGGTGAATCATGCTTGTAATCCTAGCACTTAAAGAGGCCGAAGCAGGAGGATCAGTGTGAGTTCCAGGCTAGCCTAGGTTATAGAGTGGGACCTTGTCTAAAGGAAACAAATAGCAAAGCATAAAACAACAGCAAGAAGTAAGTATATCATAATTCAAAACAAGCAAGCAAACAAAAATCAAGGAATAGGCATGTGTGAAATCCATCTTAGCAGGTTCATAGAGCAAGATTTGGGGAAGGCTGCCAAATTCATTTTGCAATGCTATTACAGGGGTTAACCTTTTCTTTCATATCAGTTCAGGTTTTAAATGTGATTCACCTAGGTTCTAGGCATCTTATTGACATCAATTTACTAAAGAAACAATTTGGTTTCTAAAAATATCATGTGATTGATGTAGCACCTAGGAATGGAAGATAATTGGAAGTCAGCTAAAGGATGCTTGGGATCAATTTCCTTATCTAAAAGGACCATCTCTTTGAATGAAATCTTATTGGGCTCCATATTGATCACCTATAGGGAGATTAAATTTATGTATTTGGGAACCATGGTTTCAGAGGTGGCCAAGTGGGTCATTCATGGAAGTGAAAATTGTTTCCATCTTTTAACACTTTGTACAGAGAATTAAAGAGCCCTGTACTGGGAAGGAAGGTAGAGAGCTGAGGCAGGCTAGGATCTGCCACCAGGATGGAAGTTTGCTCTCAGCAGCAATCCACCTTCCATTCAGAAAGCCCTTCCTTGCATCACCCTTGTGCTGTATCATCAACCTGCCTTTCTAACGTCTATGCTCTCTTTTCCAATTCTTCATCCCCATGACAACCATCAATTTCTGTGAATTTCCACATGCAAAGGCTGTCTTCAAAGTGGTGTGATGCTGGGCTTCATGTCGGGCCAGGAAAACAAAAAAGGGCTGGGGCAGATTGGCCCAGGGGTGGCCCCTGGCTGCCTCGACTCCCTAAAGTCAAGAGTGAGTTCTACAGAACAGCCAAAGGAGCGCTGGCTTGCTCTTTGTTTTTAGAGAAAGCAGGTGAGGAGAGTGAGGACTTAGCATTTAATGCACACGGTGCTTTAAGGAAATATTACTGCTAATGTGCTGCTCCTATAGAGTCTGGTTTAAGTCATATGGAAAAGGCCCAGCACAAGTGGTTTTTGAAGTGCCTTTAAGTTGAGCATCAGAATAAGTCCCATGAGGATTTCAATAAAGAACTGAATAAACAGTTAACAAATGGAGGAGCAGCCTGCTATTTCAAAAGAATTCCAATTAATAAATATAAAATGAGGAGATATAAAATCACCCCTAGGACAGTGCAGTAACTGTTGAATGCAAGATGTGCCAACAAACAATTGTTGGGAAAAAGATGGGAGAAATATGCTATTTGCATGGTTTCAATGGGTAAATTCAGGAGGAATCACGCCAATTGTCCGCAGAGAGTGGACAGAAACACAGGTCCACATTCCACCCTCTCTAGCTTGAGGCATTTCCCTGCTAACTTAAAGGGACCTCAGCTCAGGCCAAATCAGAATTCCTGGCTACAATGCTGAAAGGAACTTCAGGATTCACCAGTTTAGTGAAGTAAAGTTGGTGATGTTATTATTGGCATTTTATATTTAAGCATGAGGATTAAAGGCATCCAGGAGACAGTAACACATGCTCACACAGGGGTCTGTGTTCTGCAAGAGACCACAGAGAGGGTAAGACATACCCAAGCATGGTACTGCTCCTCAAGGGAGGTCAGCAGTAAATTGTTCTAGAATTAGCCATTTATCCCATTCCAGTGGCTCTCAAGTTACCTACCAAAAGCTTGCTAAGAAGCATTTTTCTCCCTTTTTGTTTTGATGAGGTAGTTCTGAGATGCCAACAAAGCTTAGACCTTCAGCCAGGTTTCAAGGCGGAGGACTTCTCTCCCCTTCTCACGTGCCCAGGATTTTCCCTGAATCCTGCCTCAGCATCACTAGTGCTAAGACAGTGATGCCATGTACAGTGGGTAGGAGATGCTCACCTCCTCATGTCTGGGGTCCTTTTCCCAGGAGAATAGCATCAGTTTGTTACAGGGAAGTGTCAGGGAAGTCAGCTGTGTGGGAGACTATACAGTGTCTGAGCAGTGAGCAGTGCTCACCAAAGGCTACGAGGTCACTACAGACAAGAGTGATCTGAAGAGACTGAGGGCACAGAGGTGGGGGAGGCGAAGGTGCTGGCATCCTGAAAAGGGCCCGGGGGAGATAAAGGCTATTAGCCAGGCCACACAAGGGTTCTGTGAGGTCTGAAGTTTAACTGAGTGTCACATTGATGTTAATGTCGCAGTTTTGGTAACCAGACCATAGCTGTACAAAATCTCAGCACCAACTAGATGAAGAGAAAATGGGCTCTCTATGCAGTCCATTTGTGAAAATCTAAAATTATTTAAAACAGACATGTTATTAAATGTGTATATTTTATTATCTATGTATGAATTTTAAAACCAACAAAACAAACTCCTTCGGCAATTCTCTTCTCTTCTATTCATACAGCCAGCCAGGACAGAGAAGACTAGTGTGTGTGTGTGTGTGCCCGTGTGTGCGTGTCCAGGTGTGCTTGTTCGCTGCTCACACAATGCAGCCATGTTTGTGGAGGGCAGAGGACAAATGCAGCTACTGTTCTGGTGACTTCCACTTTACTTTTGATACAGTCTCTCGCTGGCCCGGAGCTTACCAAGCATGCCAGGCTGGCTGGTCAGGAAGCCCCAGGCATCCTGCTTTCTCTTCTCAGAGCGGGAATTGCAAGCTCGTGCTAGCATGCCTGACTATTTTCCTCCATGGCT